GATTTCCTTAACGAGTTGGAAGCCAACGTGACAGCAGAAGGTAGTCCTGGAAGTGAAGTTAGGTGACACATTTTAGAATACCTGTCCACAACCACCCAGATAATGGTGGAACCTGCTGAATGGGGTAGTTCAGAAATAAAGTCCATAGAAATGCAACGCCAAGGTTCATCTGGAACAGGCAGAAGTAAAAGAAGACCGGCAGTGGAGGACTTATACTTCATAAAAATGGAGCAAGCCTGAACATATTCTTCAACATTCCTCCGCAGTGAGGGACACCAGTAATGACGCTGCAGGAAGGCACAGGTGCGTTGCACACCAGGATGTCCAGAGAGTTTTGAGTCGTGTACCTATTTGAGTAGCTTGGAGCAAAGGGCGGGGACCATAAAGGTCTTTTTTAGGTGGGATGCATTTAGGACGAAGATGAGTGGTGTCCAGGACACGATTGGCAAAAATGATAGGTTATGGGTCAACATGACACTCAAGAGTCAGCAACGCTAAATGATTTGGACAAGGCATCTGCACGGGCATTTTTGGAACTGGGATGGAAGGTAATGGCAAAGTTAAATCTGGCAAAGAAGAAAAAGCCAATCAGCCTTGGCTGGGATTCAAACGGCAGGCGGATTGGAGAGAGTGGAAGTTCTTATGATCAATATAAATCAGGATATGATGTGGAGATTCCTCCAGCAGATGTTGCCATTCTTGCAGTGCCAGCTTTATAGCCAGAAGTTCCCTTTCACCAATAGGATCTGAAAACTTCTTAAAGAAGGTACAAGGACAGAGTTTACCATCATGCATTTGGAGAAGGACAGCCCCCACTCCCAAAGATGAAGTATCTTACCTCCAAGAAGAAAGGCTGGAAAATGTCCAGATGTAGAATAGATGCAGAGAGGAAGGCGTATTTTAGTGTGTGGAATGCCTTGACTGCCTCAGGAGGCCCGGTTCTGGCGTTGGAACCCTTCTGGGTCAAAGAAGTGATTGAGGCCACCAGCGCGGAACAGTTAAGAATGAACTGGCTACAGAAGTTTGTGAATCCCAAGAAGCGCTGTGTGGTTTTCAAACCAGAGGGCTGAGGCCAGTTGGAGTGGCTTGGAGTTTGGCAGGATCCATAAACAGTTCCTTATCCGTGACTATGTAGCCTAGGAAAGGAACCTGGGTTTGCTCGAAGAGGCTACACATTTTCCATATTGAAAATAGATCTTAAATATCAAATTTCTTCCTAAATGTAGGCTGAAATGTATTCTGCTACATGTTTTTGGAAAATAAAAATTCCAATAAGTGTATATTGATTAGTTTGCACAAAAGTTATAGCATCTACAAACTATGGGATATATACTGGAATTTTGACAATTTTTTTTTTTTTGGCAGCATCAGCTACTTATAACTGCAATATTGCAGCAGACATTTTTATACTGACACTTTGTGGGAACCAGTGAAACTAATACAGTGATCAGTGCTAAAATAAATAAGAAAAATACACTGATCACTGTACTAAACTGGTTGGGAAGAGGTTAAGATCTAGGGCAAAGGGTTAAACCATGCACCTAGCTATGTGTTTGGTGTACACTAGATGGCATTGGTACAAGAGAGTGATAGTGTTCCCAGCTCTGATCTTCCTCCCTGCCTGACGATCTGTAGGCGCAGATCCATTCACCTGAACTTGCAGATCAGGTTCTGCTGCGACAGCTCACAGCAGACGCGATCTGCCAGCAGCACACCTGCACCCTATGTGGTGTAAGTGCAAAACACGCATACACCGCCCTGTAGGCGCAACAGTGCTATACAGCAGTCATAAAGTGGTTAAAGTACTGCTCAAAACAAACTGGCAACTCTTTAAAAACGCTAAACCCATGAAATTAAGATTTATATATGTCAAACGCCAAGTATATGCAAACATTTGAATCTTTATGCCAGTTTTATTCCATGTTCTGTATAGGAACATTTCATAGCCAAGTAAGGCAGGAAATTCAGGTAGATATAGCAATTTCATCAGATTTCAAAACAATACCCTACTAAGTTTTTGGCTACAGTAATGAACACAAAACCAGAAGTACAAAGCATTTTAATAGGGTGCAAGTTGGTACAGATAACTCTAAAAGGGGTCATAACAAATGATACAGGAGCCTAAATAAAAAAAAAAATATTGTGAACATTGGTTTAATTTAAAGCTCTACACCCAATCGCAAATATTTTGAATTTTAATAACTATTTAGTTAAATACATGTAATGAAAATATTTGTATATGAATTCCTTTTAAATTTCATATGCCTTTACAGTCATATTCACATTTACCTACAAACCAGTAAGTTAGGGAGAGGGACAAACTACCTAACAAGGATTCTTACATTTAGTCTAATCACATTTCTTACATTTTTTGTCAACGATATTGTAACAACGGTTACAGCAATCAAGACAGTATTATAGTTTACCTCCTATGTCGTGGTCACAGCTTAGTGAAAAATAAAACCACAATAGAGGAATTTATATACTAAATGCTATAAAATTACATGTATTAACAATATACGGCTAAAGTTAGTCTTTACAAAATAGGTGCTTACACATTTGAGGATGTTGGACTTCCATTTGTAAAATAAACTTAAATGTCCTCCAAATGAAGAACGATGAACCTAACACAATTGTCTTTAATAAAGTATAAAACTTTCAGAAACAAACAACGTGGAAATTATGCATAGCGGAGCTTGGTATAGTAAAATACAAAAACAAATACTTCCCAATGTGCTGCATAAAAAAAACACCAAAAAAAAAGCAAAAAGGGAGGCGTGGTGCATGTTAACAGATACTACAATATTACAGTATATTACTGTAATTGTTACAGATCGGTTTATCTACCTAAAATAAACATGACTGGGCCTAAAATGGTTCACAACATTTGTGAAAGAAAATGCAAGGGCTAGCACTGTGCTATGCTAGGTATACACTAGTAAATTTTCGAACAAACATTTGTACAAAAATTCTCTGTACACTGAACAGCTTAATCAAGGTTGTTCAAAAAATTTTCAAAACATTCTTTGCTCTTAACATTCAATTTTGGAGTGAATAGACTTTACAGATCAAAAACTACCATTAGAATGTGTTGAAAAAAAATATATTTTCCATCCTGCAACTTAAAAAAACAAAACAAAATAAATAAATTTAACACTCTAGACAAATATCAAACGTCAATTTGACCTCACTAACAATGAGAGAAATGGCACAAACCATTACTAAAATGAAACTTTGAAAGGAAATCTACTAGTGTATACCCAACTTTAGCCTTCAAACCAGTCTCTGGGGCCTCTAGGCTCTACATTTTGCACAAGGTGAGATTAAGCCCTGCACCTTTAAAAGACTCACCTCCATCATTCAACTGTCAGAGCCTATACCACCTGCAGATTTTGCAGTATTTGACAGTTGAATGACAAGGGGCATGGCGGGGCTTAATTTTAATGTGGACAATGAAGACCCCCATTTACTATCTGGGTCTCCAAGAGGATTCATTGGTAAGCCACCACAATATTTCTGCAAAAAAGACTTCAGCACTGTGACCATAGAAATGTTTGAACCGAAGTGGTTCACTTTAAAAAAAAAAAAAAAAGGAAACCTGTACTGAGGGCCCATATATAAGCAATGCAAGTTGCCTGGATGTCATGCTATTGAATTGGCTTAAATACTTTGCCTTTAGTAAATGAAACCCAAATAGACACTGCACTCTGCAAAGTGCAGTTGCACCCTGCAAGTGCAGTAGCTCCACAGCTTAGTAAATGAGGTAAAGCTTCACTTTGCAAAGAATACCCAATCATGTGCAAGTAAAAAAAAAAAACCTGCATTTTACTTGCGCATGATTGGATGATGGAAGTCAGCAAAGCTTTTGCTCATTTACTAAGCTCTGGAGCAACTGCTTTTGCAGAGTGCAACTGCACTTTGCAAAGTGCACCATTTATTTGCCTTTAGTAAATCAACCCCTCTAAGTTACTTACCTGGAACAAATATGCAGACCAGCAGTTCTGACTTAACATGCTGCATGCTTGTCCCAGGTTAGCATCTGCAGTTCTAAATCCAGGAAAATGGCTTTCGTTGGTGATCAGAAATGACAGCCTGTTTCTCAACGTGGTTTTCCTTTAAAAAGGGAAAGCTCAAAAATGTTACAGCAGTTTGCCAACTTGTTACTACTACAGTACTTAAATGTTTTTATAAATCAAAAATCTGAATTATTTACATTACATGTGTAAGTTTTCTTAGTGTTTCAAGTGTCACTTAGCATTCAAAAATGGGCTAGGTTTTCTTTGTAGCCATGCTCCTTGAAAAAAAAAAACAGTGAAGATGACATACCCAACACATCACACACACTAACAGGTTTGTTGGGTTAACAAAGGTCAGATCCTTACATGTTCACTTTCACATATATAGTTTAATCCCATCATATGGCTATTTTTTTTTTTTTTTTAAAGGACAACCATACACAAAAATACTGTATTCTGGTAACCATTTTGGTCATATCTAGTCAGCATTTGGTATACTTTTTTTTTCCTGACATGCCTTTATATTTTTCTTCCACGTTTGTATGCAGTCGTAGTTATCCTTATATGTGAAAGTTCAAGGGATTTGAGAAAACACTACTAGTAGTGCTTGAGCAGCTGCAGCTGATTGGGCCAGCATCAACAGCTTCCTTCCAAGTTGGGACCAGACCCAAGCCCATCTGTGATCTCAACCTGGTACTACCACTTTTGCTGGGCAGCATGGCAATGTAGAGAAAAACTGAAAAAACTGAGGCATGTGTAGAAAAGAATTTATATACTGAACACTATCATGTAGATTAGTTATCAGAATACAATTTTTTCTGAGACGGCCATCTTTTAAGCAGAAAAAAAAAGGGGGGGGGGGAGGGGCGAAGAGCGTGCAGATAACCTCAGTTGACTTTAACACGCAAAATTATGTTTTCATGTATTTAAAGACACAGAATCACAGGCAGAAATATAAAATGGACATCTGTATTGGATTCTTTATTACTTTGATGAAGGTGGTGGGCCTTGTTCAGGGTTTGAAGCTGGTGGTGGACCGTGCAGATTGGTTTCCTTGTAGACAAACCATGCATTGCCTGCCCACAAAATCAAGTTCAGGAACCCAAAAGCCTTAAAATGAAATACAAAAAAAATTTAAAAAACAAACAAACATACAGCTGGCCAACATCCATCTAACAAAAAAACGTCCATATGTGCAAAGTAACATGGAAGAGTCATCACCTTCTGCTGCCCCTTTGTAAGAGCAGAGCCACGGTCTTGCTCCCCCCCCCACATTAATTGGATGACTAGAGTCCTACCAGGTAAATTACTATAAAGCAGTGGTTTGCAACCTGGGGTACATAAAAAAAAAAACTGAAAGGTGAAGTGCAATTAAATATTGTGACCAAAGCAAGCATCACTAAATGACATTAGGCTGCGACAGTACAGGCCTGGCAGGAAGGAGCAGAGCGATCCAACGCCAGCCTCTTCCTGCTACAATTACACCCACTAGCAGCAGTCACAGCAAGCTGCCATGTACTCTGCAGGTGCACAATGAACTGCAGGCCTTGGGGGGAAATATACAGAGAGGAGCCTCATGGTGCCCAAGTACCTGTTTCTATTAACATACCCACTAGGTGATCCCTGTTACATAATTTTTGCTTGGTGCTGCCAGAGACCATGGCCTGACGTACTCTAGGCTTAGGGGGGAGAGCCTGGAGGGGGGACAAAATTGACAGCGTCTGTCCTGCGCAAGTCTGTGAACCTCATCACATTATGAATCAAGGCCAGAAATTGCATTATTGCATTGTTTTTTAATCCAGTTTCTTGGAAATTTAGTTACGTTACAGGTACATGTCTGAATTAAAACAGCAACTATTTAACAAGCACACACAAAATATAAAAAGGGGAGGATGAAAACCACTGCTAAAGAGAATGTGTAATTTTCATATTTATGTCCGAAATGTACAATGCGATGGGTAGATTTTTTTTAAGAATGCTCTGTATCATGTATATTATAAAAGTTCACAGTAAAAGGATTGCATTTTTCACTTTTGTGTAAAATCTAGGGTTCGGAATAGGGTAAGGTTTAGTCTTAGATGGCTGGGTTACAGGTTTCCATCTTCAAGTGACAGGACACTGGAAACCAGTGGGAGGGGGTTATATGGGGGATCATTGCAGCTCTGACCGTTATCCTCAGTTCTCTTTTTTATTTTTGGGAGGGTCCAGCACTTCAGGAAGTCTATTTTAAGTCAAAAATATTTGGTCTTAGATGACTGACAGATCCAAAAGCAATACATAAGAGGGGTGGGCAACAGAAAATAAAAAGGTATAAAAAAAAAAAAAAAAAAAAAAAAAAAAGTGTAAAGGCTGAGTACTGGGAGGAAGTGGGGGGGGGGGGGGGGGGGGAGAGAGAGAGATGGGCGGGTGCTGAGTACAATAAGGTGGGGGAGCAGAGTATTGTAATGAGGGGACTAAGGACAGTAATGGGGGGAGCTGAAGACAGCAAATTACAATCACACAGCAGACCAGAAAAGACCAGCACAGTCAAACCATAAAACAGTTATGCTGGAATGTACCTGTTGGTGAGGGAGGTTAGGGCAATGTGAAAAAAGTGTTGAATTTTTTTCTTTTTTGTCGAAAAGGTCATACCTAGATCTTACTCCCAATTAGAAAAGAAAAAAAAAAAAAAAGGGGGAAGAATAAAATCAGTCTCAGGGTGGAAGAGAGACAAGTAAATAGTAGAAAGATTATGCCAGACTGGCTCGCCTCTGTGGCACAGTCACGAAAGCAGTTAGGGCGTGGGCTATGTCAGGTGAATGCAGAAGGGAGCGCAAGTATGGATCAAAGCTGAAGAACACCCCCAGAAGCTCAATGAAGGATCCACCAAACTGAGTGAGACTGGAGGAGATAAGATCCCCATCTGGAGTAAAAAAATCAGGCGAGTATGTCCACCAAGGGTGAGACAGAGGTAATGCTGGGGTAAAAATCACAATCATGCTGTATGGGGACCAGATGGGGAAGGGCCAGGGGAAATAGACGTAGTACGGAATGCTTCCTGGGTGACCCTCAGGGTGGTACTCAGTCAGGTGAGCACTGAGATCCCGTGATAAGGAACAAGCCAGCCATGGCTAACTTAGGGCAGTGCCCTGGGAATTCTCTAATTCCATGGCAATGAAAGTTTGGCTGCAGTGTGCCAGCGAACCAGGCATTTAAGGTGGGCAGCTCTATAGCAGGAACAGATATCAGGTAAGCCTACCCCCTCCGCATATCTTTGGTGGAGTCAGTAGATGGAAAGCAAGCCTGGGTTTCTTATGGGACCAAACAAAGGCCTGGAACATCGCACTGACTCTGGAAAAACTGCAATCGGAACGACTAGGAGAAGTGAAGATGTCAGACTGCGCCAGAGTCAGAGGAAACATTCATGGCAGATGATTTTGCACAGTTAAATTTTAAAGAACAACAGAGAGCCATAACCCTGAAGGGCCTGTATAGGGTTAGGAAGAGAGGTGAGAGGATTCAAAAGAAAGAAAGAAGGAAAAAAAAAAAAAAAAAAAAAAAAAAAAAAAAAAAATCGGCATATGTTGCAACCTTATGCTCACCGGAGGACTTACGGTAGCCAGAGATGTTAGGGTCCGCATGAATCATGCACAGGAAGGGCTCCAGGGTTAAGATTAACCGCTTGCCCTCCAGAGGATTTACTCCCCTTCCCGACCAGGCCATTTTTTGCAATACAGTGCTGCGTTACTTTAACCGGCAATTGTGCGATCATGCAACACTGTACATAAATGATATTTGTTATTTTTTCTCCCAGAAATAGAGCTTTCTTTCGGTGGCATTTGATCACGTCTGCGGTTTTTATTTTTTTGCGCTATACACAAAGAGAACAATTTTGAAAAAAAAAAAAAAAAAATCAAATTTCTTCATAAATTTAGGCCAAAATGTATTCTGCTACATGTCTGTTAAAAAAAACCCCCCAATAATTGAATATTAATTGGTTTATGCGAAAGCTATAGTGTCTACAAGGGGTGGTATATACACACACCGGAATTTTTATTTTTTTATACTAGTAATGGCAGCGATCAGCGACTTATAGCAGGGCTGCAGCATTCTGGGTGGGAACTGACTAACTGCCACCCCAGTGACACTAATACAGTGAACAGTGCTAATAAAAAGCACTGATACTGCACTAATGACACTGGGCAGGAAGGGGTTAACATCTGGGCAAAGGGTTAACAGTGTGCTATGTGTTTTACATCATGTGCAGTTTTACTTTGGAGACATGATGTTTTTCGATCTTTCTGCTGTGCACAGAGATAAAAAGCAGCATGTCCATGCTGAGAGGAGAAAGACCTGTGTTGTTTACACACAGGTCTGTCCCCTGACAGCTTTGCCGACAATTGCAGAGTGCCGGCTGGGACTCGGCATGCACGCGTCCCCAACCCGGAAATGCAACACACACACACACAATTTTGCGTAGCCATGCCGCCCTGTAGCAGTACTTCTGCTATAAGGCAGAGGGCAAGTAGTTAAGATTAATGGAGAAAGCTGGCACCCTTGGTGTGCCCCGTTAGATAGGGAAGAAGGCTGATCTGCTCTTGTTAACCTTGACAGAGACCGAGGGACAGAGTAGGAGGGAGGTGATCCACTGTAACAAGGAAGTGTCAAGACTGATATGGGCCAGGGTCACCTGCAAAAAATTAGAATTGTCACAATCAAAAGCCTTTTCGGCATAGGTAGAGAGTAAAATAAGAGGATTTTTTTTTTAGAGGTCCTGGCAGCATGAAATCAGGCTGAGAACATGAATGGTGTTATTAACAAGGATTTTCGCAAACGATTGGTCTTTAACAGTGCAATGGGCCTGTAACTGCCATGGTGCAGGATCCTTGCCTTTCTTGGGAATTCGCAAAATATAGGCCCTGAGTGCGTCTGGGGTCATAGCCTTCCCCTTTGACAGCAGCCACCATACTTGGAGAGAGCAGGTCAAAGAAGGTCCTATAGTAGGTTGCGGTCAAACCATCCGAGCCTGGGGCTCTCTTTGGCTTAGAATGAGAGAGCGTCACCCCCAGGTCCTCTACAGTGATTGGAGCTTCCAGGTCTTGGCAAACAGAGGAGAGGGTGGGGCAAGCCAGAGGAGGCAATGTAAGAATGCATCTTCAACTGAGCACCTGGAGGGAGACCCAGGGGGCATTCAGAGTGAGGTTATACAGAGCCCGGAAAAAAAAAAAAAAAAAAAAAAAAAAAAAAAAAAAAAAAAAAAAAAAATGGAATTCGGCAGCCATAGAGCCCGAAGCGGACAGCTTCTGTCCAGTTGCTGATGTGATATGGGGAAAGAGTTAGAACGCCCAGGAGTGCTCAAGCAAAACTCGTACATGGTACAGTCAAATACTGATTTGATTAGGATTTTTCTTCTGTTCATTTACTTTAAAAGTTTCTATTTTGTTAATAAAAATAAACACTTCTATTTCTTAAAGAGTTCTTAATTTACAGCATTTTCACACCTGCCTGAGACTTTTGCACTGTACTCTATATGGGATGGAACATTGGTTATTATAGCAACAGATTTCCTTACTCCACTAACAAACAAAAGCTCACATTGTGGCCCTCCCCATCTGGGGACCTACTACTCCATGATTAACCCAGAGGCAGGCAATTTCCCCAAATTGCTCAATCCGGTTCTCCATTTCTCCTCCAAACCCTCTGGCCTATGCAGTCATTTGGGAGAGCGAATTGAAGACCCAAATTGATAAAAAAGATGACTGGGAGAAAGCATTTAATCTGTCACACAACCTTTCTGTAGCCATCATTTTAGCAAGGTGGTACAGGTGCCCAGACCCTCTGCATCAATTTATCCATTACTCTCCAATATGTGCCGGCAATGAGGGAACTTAGAGGGCACTCCACTTCATATTTGGGCAAACTGCCCCCCCCCAATTAAGAGGCTCTGGGCTTCTGTTCAACTATATTGTAAAGTCATGGGGACACTTGTCCCCAATACCTCTCAAGCTACCTTAGTATCTTACCTGGATAATTTAAAACCACTAAACTGGCGTCATCCTTTTTTGACAGCTGCTAAAGCCATTATCCTCTCAACTGGAGATCCTTTTATGTACCTATGCTGGCTTTATGGGTACTGGAAATGTACTTGCTTATTGATCGGAGCACTGGCAGCAGAACACGACAGGTTGGATAAGCATACCAAGACCTGGGGGGGGGGGGGGGGTCATCTGAAGCATGTTCTGTAACTCACAGGAATTTCAAGCCATGCTTTCCTCATGAGTTGGAAATGTCAGGCATGGGGCACGGGGGTATGGTTTAGAGCATTTCCCCGTCCTCCCCCTTTTCCTCTATTTTTCCTCAACCACCCCCACCTTTTCTCTTTTTTGCTACTATGCATTTGGATTCCTAATGCCTTACCATACTTTACATTCCTGTCAGATGTGCATCCCTCCATGTGCCCAATACCAAATCACTACTTGCCTAATTGGAGATATTCTGAATGCAGTCCTATTTATCTGACAGGAGTACTTTTGTTAATCCAGGATGCCAAAACATTTTTATCACAGTAACTGCTGCATGGATTGGCTTATTTTATTGCATTCATCATGAAGTTAGTCTCCAGAACATTCCCAAGCGCTGTAACCAGCGATCATACCTGTGTTGTGTAGGTGTGTAACCCCATTTACAAATTTTGTGCAAGCACCATTTTTGCTTTTTTTTTTTTTTTTTAAAACAATAAAATAAGATCGAAATAAAAAAAAATATATACCAATGTCGATTTTTGCTGTGTTATTTACATTCTGCCTACCAGCACATGCATAGTACATGGTAAATTTAAGCCAAGCTTCTGGATAAGACCTGGCTCATGCATTTAGTGAATTTTGCAGAAACGCCCCAAAGTCCATTTGACATGGTTTCTTATGGAACATGTCCACATCTGTTTTTCAGCCGCTGTTTTTGGAAAGAGCCAGAGACTTTTTTTTTTTTTTTTTTTTTTTTTACGCAACATGGTGTTTTTGGCTCAATAAGAGATCATTGGACACATGGCAGAAATGCATGTAGTGTATTTTAGAGGAGTTTTTAACCTGCATAACAAAACAAACCCAAAAACCCCACAAAAAGCACTGCAGAAAAGGAACAAAAGAAAACTGCATATGTGTGAGCCAGGACAAACTGTCAAAGCTACCAGTGTGCTTATGTAGGCTCTCAACCAATCTTGTAAGCTCTCAAATTGCTGGTGTTATAGCTGCTCATATGTGCAGCACCATGGGAAAAAGGCAGATATACATGGAAGCTAAGATAGCACTGTCTTCCGTGGATAGGAGTTTTTAGTTTTACTTTAAGCATGTCTCCATTTTTTTCTTCTCCATAATATTTAAAAAAAAAAAAAAAAAACAAGACAAATCTACTTACCACGGAAATGTTTAGCGATCCCATATGTGGTTCCATTTCACTATGGCAAACATAATAACTGGTCTGATTGCATAAATATTTAGCAATATTTTCCGTGTTGGTCACAGATTTAACATCAGTCAATCCTTTAGCCCATGCAGAGGAACTCACAAGCCACATAAAGGCAAAAATGACTGTGATTATAAAATCCTAGAAAGGAATAGTCACAGGTATAAATATTTTGGTGTAAGCAGAACCTTTTGATAAAATGCACCTGGGCCCAGACTGTGGATATTAAAAAAAAGAGAAGTACAACCAAAGCTCTTTTGACTGTACTTCCGTGGATCACAGGAGTGGAGTTCATTCTGCACTCCTGTGACCCATTTTGTTAGCTGACAGAGAAGCCCAACTTTCCCAGCTGTTTGTACTGTTGGACTGTAATTAATGCTCAAAAGATCACAAGACTCTAAAGGTTAGGTTTTTAAGAGCTTAAAAAAACATCTGCTGTGTGTTAACATTAGAAAGCTGGAAGGCGGTCAAGACAGAAAATAGCTGAGATTACAAATTATGAAGATGAACTTCTTCACAATTCCTATAGCTACAGGGGTGAAGAAGGGTTTGCATTAAAGTGCTTTTACTGCTTGTTCCAAATATACAAATACTTTAATATGCATGATCTGGGCACAGGTTCTTTTTAATATCTAAAAATAACTTTTGAGTGAAACATTGGTTAGTTATATGATTAAAAACAATTCTGTCATCTCATACATGATCATTATTGTAGAGCTGAATTCTAATTAACAATACAATGCAATTGCCACCTTTAAAATTCACATTTCTAATGCTATAACACTACATTGGAACTGGAAATGGACGACATTTATTGAAAAGGCTGATCCCTCAGAATTACAATGTAATAATTAATTAGACAGTGGCAGGTTTGACAGGAACTAGTTATTTTTACCCAGCTAGTAAACTTGCTTCTTCGTAATGGTTTCCCTTTAAATAGTAAGGACATTAGGTCTACCGGTATAGAATAGTATGTTGAAAAGCATGTTTAATTTTAGGATTTTGCCAAATAAAAATGGCTTCAACATAACGTAACTTAAAAAGATATCAGATTTTTAAAAATCCATACGATTTAGAATTACCACTTTGCAATAAACCATCAGAAATCACATTAACAGCACTTACCAGTGGGAACAGTCATACTGTATCATCCATGCAGCAATAAGGAATAATTGACAATTAATTTACTTGACCACCACCAAAACAGAAAACCAGCTTTTAAGAAAAAAAAAAAAAAAAACAAACCCCCCCCCCCAACAAAAAAAAAACACAGCTTTCAACATGCATTCAAATTGGTCATCGAAAAGGTTGTACCTAAAGGCAGGGTATACATGCACAGTTTTTTTTTTGCTAAACCAGTGGGTTAAGTGAAAAAACAAAACAAAAAAACCACACCAAAAAACACTTGCCAGATCCCTGCATCCACAAGCCCAGATCCCCCCCCCCCCCCCCCCGCCTTACCCACCCACCAGAACTGATCTGTGCTGCAGCCATTGGCTGTATACGCCGATTGAATGCCGATTTTCTACCAGGACTGTTCAACAAATTTTGGTATGTATGAACCCGGCTTTAGAAGGGATCTATCTCACAAAGGACTTCCTAGCAACACTTACCAGCCAGCCTGCAAAACCACCAATTTGGCCCTGTCTAACAGTTTGTGTAAAACTAATGCGCTCATACACACACCTAAAAAAAAAAACAAGTGGACAAAGCCATATCATAGTGTTCATGTATGGCTTTGTCCATTATTTTGGGGATCACTCTTTTGTATGGCGATTTTTCAACAATAAAGTTTATGTGCAGCAATCCAATTTTCTTTTTTCTAAATATGGCCTTTGGGAGGGCCTGATTGCTATGCACTGTGATTGATCACCGTTGTGCCCTCTACCTATATTACTAATATATATACACACACCTCTGTTTACGAATGTAATTAATTCTGCGGGACTTTTTGTATAGTGAAAACCAGAGTTAGACTTACCGGTAACTCCTTTTCTACGAGTCTTCCAGGACAGCCACTTGAGACTTAGAGCTCCTCCCTCCGGATCAGGAAACACACCCATCCCCCCATGCCTTTTAAAAGGCGGACCTCCAGGCCTCCAATCCAGTTTTTAATTGAGAACTAGCGGAAGACACTGAAAGACACAATTATACCTAAATATATCTCTATTCATTCAACCTTAAATTTTTCGGTTGCACATTAGAAGGGTGGGAACTACCGGCTGTCCTGGAAGACTCGTAGAAAAGGAGTTACCGGTAAGTCTAACTCTGGTTTTCTCCCTACATCTTCCAGGACAGCCACTTGAGACGATAACCAAGAACTTACCCCCTTAGGGTGGGCCCACCGCCTGGAGGACCTTGTGTCCGAACGCCTGCTCCTTATCCGACAGGATGTCCAAGCGGTAATGCTTCACGAAGGTAGAGTACTTCGACCAAGTGGCTGCCTTACAGATTTCCTCCGGTGAAGCCTCGGCTCTCTCCACCCAGGACGCTGCCAACGATCTAGTCGAGTGAGCCTTAACAAAAGGAGGCGGAATCCCTAAAACCTTGTAAGATTCCCCTATTGCCAGCCTAATCCACCTGCCTATCGTGGCCTTAGATGCTGCAAGACCCCTTTTCTGCCCCGAAAACAAAACAAAAAGGGAATCTGACTTCCTAAATTCCTGGGACTTGTCTAAATAAATTATAAGACTCCTCTTCACATCTAGCAACCCCAGCCTTTCTTCCTCTTTACCTTCAGAGGAAGAACAAAAGGTCGGTAGAACTATATCCTGCGACCTATGAAAAGAGGAGGATACTTTAGGAAGAAACCCTGGATCCGTCCTAAGCACTACCCTGTCCTTAAGAATGGTCAGGTAAGGCTCCCTAATAGAAAGCGCTTGCAGCTCACTCACCCTACGGGCCGTCGTGATGGCTACCAAAAAAAAACAATCTTTAAGGTTAAAAACATAATTGTTGACTCTTCCAAAGGCTCAAAAGGTTCCTGGACCAAGGCCTTTAGAACCAAGGACAGATCCCAAAACCGGACAAGATCCTACCTTAGTAGGCCTAGCCTTGGAAAGAGATCTGAAAAAATCCACTACAAAAGGGTTCTGTTGCAAAGAGACCTGCAAAAAAATACTCAAAGTTGATGCTTGTACCTTCAAGGTGCTGATCGAGAGGCCCCGATCCGCACCCTCCTGAAAAAAATCCAAAATTGTCGGAATGTCCAGAGGCCTTGGTCGGCCTGAACACCACGAGTTAAATTTTCTCCAGACCTTAGAATAAATGGCTCTGGTTACTGGTTTACGACAGTTTACTAAAGTCTTTACCACCGAATTGGAGAACCCCCTGGCCCTGAGGATCTCTTCCTCAGAAACCAAGCCGTCAACCGTAAGGTCTTGACCCACGGATGCAGAAGAGGACCCTGCGCAATCAGATCCCCCCTTTCCAGTAAAGGAAACGGGCGAGCTGAAGCCAGCCTGTTCAGTAGAGCGAACCAGGGCCTCTTTGGCCAGAAGGGTGCAATTAAGATCAAATCTGACCTTTCCTTCAAAAATTTGTGCAGGACCGCCGGGATCAGTCTGATCGGAGGGAACGCATAGGCCAAAATGAAGTCCCAAGAGGTTGACAGGGCGTCTATCCCCAAAACTCTGCTCTCGCGGGTTCAGGGAAAAAAACTGATCGACCTATTTTCCCGTGAATCAAACAGATCCACCTCCGGATTCCCCCACTTGAACACTATCTCCCGAAAAAACTCCTGGTTGAGTGACCAATCGTCGTGACTGAAAGATCGACGACTTAGGAAATCCGCCAGCCAATTGTGTGAACCCTTCAAAATGCACCGCCGATATCGACCGCAGATTCTGTTCCGCCCAGGTCAAAATACTGCCCGCGATCCTCTGCAGTGAAGGACTCCTTGTACCCCCCTGCTTGTTTATATAGGCTACTGTTGCTACGTTGTCTGAAGGAATCTGCAAATTATGGTTTTCTAACCTTGCTTGAAAGGCCTCCAAGGCCTTCCAAACCGCCAACAGTTCCCTTTGATTTGAGGGCCTTAACAAGTCCTCCCGGGACCACTTCCCTGAGCCGTTCTCCCTTGCAGATGGGCTCCCCAACCAAAACTGCAGATCTCTTGACCCTGGACAGAAGTTGGATCATCCGATCCAATGTCAAGATATCCCCGTCCCATACTTTCAATAAGACAGCCTGTAGTGGTCTTTGGTGGAACCTTGCCCACGCAACTGCTGGAAAACAGGATGTCATGAGACCCACTGCCCTTGCGACTTCCCTCACTGAGACCGGCAGGCTGCACTGCAACCCTGCCAATACCCGATCCATCTTCCTGACCTTCTCCTGAGGTAGAACAATCTTTCCCTCTAGAGATGAGATCTCGTACCCTAGGTAAACCACCCTCTGAGCGGGTATAAGAGACTACTTTTTCATGTTGATGAGCCAACCCAGAAGGAGATTCTGAGCTACCCCTAGGTCCTCGACCAACTGCTGACGAGACCCGGCCACCACGAGTAAGTCATCCAAATATGGAATTATCATTATTGACCTCAGTCTTAGAGGAACCAGAGCCTCTGCCAAAACTTTTGTAAAGATCCTTGGTGCCGACGCCAGCCCGAAGGGCAAGGCCCGGAACCGCCAATGGAAGGTCTGCGACCCCATCCTTATGGCCAACCTCAGGAATTTCTGGCTTGCCTGATGGATGGGAATGTGAAAGTAAGCATCCCTCAAATCTAACGTGGCCATGAAGCACCCCTGGAAAAGGATATTCGTTACCGAATATATCGATTCCATTCTGAAGTGCTTGTACTTTAGGGCCTGATTCAAGATCAACCTGAACTTGCCTGAGGGCTTTCCCACGACAAAGACGTGGGAATAACACCCCAAACCCAGCTCGCTCTGAGGCACCTGAACCAGAACTCTTTGGTCCACCAGTTCCCCAATAAGACCGCACAGCGCCTGAGACTTCCTGCAATCTTTGGGAAGGTTGGTAATCAAGAACCTGCTTGGAGGGGAGGCCTCGAACTCCAGTCTGTAGCTTCCCTGAATCAGGCTCCAAATGTAGGGGTTCGGGGAGATAGAAGCCCACTGAGGGAGAAAGGACCCCAGCCTTCCCCCTACTGGGCCGCCCAAGTCATAGCGACTTGGAG